AAAATTGCGGTAGAAGAACTAAATCAAACAAATCACTTGAAATTAGACATTAAATTCTTCTCTTAACACCTACCTTATTGGGTGACATCAAAGAAACGTGAGCAGCAAGATTCAAACCTTCACGGGAAAAGCCACATGATTTGTAGTCATGCCCGATAACCACTCCGGCACCACTCTTGACATTAAATTTTGAATTTTTTCCCAAATACTATTTATTAGTTAACAAAATTGGGGTAGAAAAACTAAATCAAACAATTCAATTGAAATTTGACGTTAAATTCTTCGCTTTAATACAACCTATTGGGTGACATCAAAGAAACGTGAGTAGCATGATTCGAACCTGAGCGGGCAAAGCCCACATTATTTCTAATCATGCCCGATAACCACTCCGGCACGCCCACTCTAGTCATTTAATTTTGATTTTTTTCCCAAATACTATTTATTAGTTGACAAAATTGGTGTAGAAAAACTAAACCAAACAAATCAATTAAAATTTGACATTAAATTTTTTTCTTAAATACAACCTATTTGGTGACAGCATAGAATCATGAGCGACAGGATTCGAACCTGCGCGGGCTAAGCCCACATGATTTCTAGTCATGCCCGATAACCACTCCGGCACGCCCACTCATGGCATTAAATTTTGACTTTTTTCCAAAATTATATTAATTAGTTTACAAAATTGGGGTAGAAGAACTAAATCAAACAAATCAATTGAAATTTGACATTAAATTCTTCTCTTAAATACAACCTATTGGGTGATAGCAAAGAAACGTGAGCAGCATGATTCGGACCTGCACGGGCAAAGCCCACATGATTTCTAGTTATGCCCGATAAACACTCCGGCATGCCCACTCTTGACATTAAATTTTGACTTTTTTCCTAAATACTACTTGTAAGTTGACAAAATTGGGGTAGAAGAACTAAATCACTTGAAATTTGATATTAAATTCTTCTCTTAAATACTACCTATTGGGTGACAGCAAAGAAACGTGAGAAGCAGGATTCGAACCTACACATGCAAAGCCCACAAGATTTCTAGTCATGCTCGATAACCACTCCGGTACACCTACTCTTAACATTAAATTTTGACTTTATTCCCAATTTCTATTTATTAGTTGACAAAATTGGGGTATAAGAACTAAATCAAACAAATCACTTGAAATTTGATATTAAATTCTTCTCTTAAATACTACTTTCTATTTATTAGTTTACAAAATTGGGGTATAAGAACTAAATCAAACAAATCACTTGAAATTTGATATTAAATTCTTCTCTTAAATACTACCTATTGGGTGACAGCAAAGAAACGTGAGCAGCAGGATTGGAACCTACACAGGCAAAGCCCACAAGATTTCTAGTCATGCCCGATAACCACTCCGACACGCCCACTCTTGGCATTAAATTTTGGCTTTTTTCCGAAATTATATTAATTAGTTTACAAAATTGAGGTAGATGAACTAAATCAAACAAATCAATTGAAATTTGAAATTAAATTCTTCTCTTAAATACAACCTATTCGGTGATAGCAAAGAAACGTGAGCGACAGGATTCGAACCTGCGCGGGCAAAGCCCACATGATTTCTAGTCATGCCCGATAACCACTCCGGCACGCCCACTCTTGGCAATAAATTTTGACTTTTATATTAAATTATATTAATTAGTTTACAAAATTGGGGTAGAAGAACTAAATCAAACAAATTTGACATTAAATTCTTCTCTTAAATCCTTCCGATTGGGTAACGGCAAAGAAATGTGAGCGGCAGGATTCGAACCTACACAAGCAAAGCCCACATGATTTCTAGTCATGCTCAATAACCACTCCGCCACGCCCACTCTTAACATTAAATTTTGACTTTATTCCCAAATACTATTTATTAGTTGACAAAATTGGGGTAGAAGAACTAAATCAAACAAATCACTTGAAATTTGTTATTAAATTCTTCTCTTAAAAACAACCTATTTGGTGACAGCAAAGAAACGTGAGCGGTAGGATTCGAACCTACGCAGGCAAAACCTACATGATTTCTAGTCATGCTCGATAACCTCTCCGGCACGCCCACTCTAAACGTTAAATTTTGATTTTATTCCCAAATACTATTTATTACTTGACAAAATTGGGGTAGAAGAACTAAATAAAACTAATCACTCTAAATTTGATATTAAATTCTTCTCTTAAATACAACCTATTTGGTGACAGCAATGAAACGTGAGCGGCAGGATTCGAACCTGCGCGAGCAAAGCCCACATGATTTCTAGTCATGCCCAATAACCACTCCGACACACCCACTCTTATCATTAAATTTTGACTTATTTCCCAAATACTATTTATTACTTGACAAAATTGGGGTAGAAGAACTAAATAAAAAAAATCACTTGAAATTTGATATTAAATTCTTCTCTTAAATACAACCTATTTGGTGACCGCAAAGAAACGTGAGCGGCAGGATTCAAACCCACACAGGCAAAGAATACATGATTTCTAGTCATGCCCGATAACCACTCCAGCACGCCCACTCTTAACATTAAATTTTGATTTTATTCCCAAATACTATTTATTACTTGACAAAATTGGGGTAGAAGAACTAAATAAAACAAATCACTCTAAATTTGATATTAAATTCTTCTCTTAAATACAACCTATTTGGTGACAACAAAGAAACGTGAGCGGCAGGATTCGAACCTGCGCGGGCAAAGCCCACATGATTTCTAGTCATGCCCAATAACCACTCCGGCACGCCCACTCTTATCATTAAATTTTGACTTATTTCCCAAATACTATTTATTAGTTGACAAAATTGGGGTAGAAGAACTAAATAAAACAAATCAATTGAAATTTGACATAAAATTCTTCTCTTAAATACAACCTATTAGGTGACAGCAATGAAACGTGAGCAGCATGATTTGAACCTGTGCGGGCAAATCCCTCCTGATATTTAGTCATGCCCGATAAACACTCCGGCATGCCCACTCTTGACATTAAATTTTTACTTTTTTCCCAAATACTAATTATTTGTTTACAAAATTGTGGTAGAAGAACTAAATCAAACAAATCACTTGAAATTAGACATTAAATTCTTCTCTTAACTCCTACCTTATTGGGTGACATCAAAGAAACGTGAGCAGCAGGATTCAAACCTTCACGGGAAAAGCCACATGATTTGTAGTCATGCCCGATAACCACTCCGGCACCACTCTTGACATTAAATTTTGAATTTTTTCCCAAATACTATTTATTAGTTAACAAAATTGGGGTAGAAAAACTAAATCAAACAATTCAATTGAAATTTGACGTTAAATTCTTCGCTTTAATACAACCTATTGGGTGACATCAAAGAAACGTGAGTAGCATGATTCGAACCTGAGCGGGCAAAGCCCACATAATTTCTAATCATGCCCGATAACCACTCCGGCACGCCCACTCTAATCATTTAATTTTGATTTTTTTCCCAAATACTATTTATTAGTTGACAAAATTGGTGTAGAAAAACTAAACCAAACAAATCAATTAAAATTTGACATTAAATTTTTTTCTTAAATACAACCTATTTAGTGACAGCATAGAATCATGAGCGACAGGATTCGAACCTGCGCGGGCTAAGCCCACATGATTTCTAGTCATGCCCGATAACCACTCCGACACGCCCACTCATGGCATTAAATTTTGACTTTTTTCCAAAATTATATTAATTAGTTTACAAAATTGGGGTAGAAGAACTAAATCAAACAAATCAATTGAAATTTGACATTAAATTCTTCTCTTAAATACAACATATTGGGTGATAGCAAAGAAACGTGAGCAGCATGATTCGGACCTGCACGGGCAAAGCCCACTTGATTTCTAGTTATGCCCGATAAACACTCTGGCATGCCCACTCTTGACATTAAATTTTGACTTTTTTCCTAAATACTACTTGTAAGTTGACAAAATTGGGGTAGAAGAACTAAATCACTTGAAATTTGATATTAAATTCTTCTCTTAAATACTACCTATTGGGTGACAGCAAAGAGACGTGAGAAGCAGGATTCGAACCTACACATGCAAAGCCCACAAGATTTCTAGTCATGCTCGATAACCACTCCGGTACACCCACTCTTAACATTAAATTTTGACTTTATTCCCAATTTCTATTTATTAGTTGACAAAATTGGGGTATAAGAACTAAATCAAACAAATCACTTGAAATTTGATATTAAATTCTTCTCTTAAATACTACTTTCTATTTATTAGTTTACAAAATTGGGGTATAAGAACTAAATCAAACAAATCACTTGAAATTTGATATTAAATTCTTCTCTTAAATACTACCTATTGGGTGACAGCAAAGAAACGTGAGCAGCAGGATTGGAACCTACACAGGCAAAGCCCACAAGATTTCTAGTCATGCCCGATAACCTCTCCGACACGCCCACTCTTGGCATTAAATTTTGGCTTTTTTCCGAAATTATATTAATTAGTTTACAAAATTGAGGTAGATGAACTAAATCAAACAAATCAATTGAAATTTGAAATTAAATTCTTCTCTTAAATACAACCTATTCGGTGATAGCAAAGAAACGTGAGCGACAGGATTCGAACCTGCGCGGGCAAAGCCCACATGATTTCTAGTCATGCCCGATAACCACTCCGGCACGCCCACTCCTGGCATTAAATTGACTTTTATATTAAATTATATTAATTAGTTTACAAAATTGGGGTAGAAGAACTAAATCAAACAAATTTGACATTAAATTCTTCTCTTAAATCCTTCCGATTGGGTAACGGCAAAGAAATGTGAGCGGCAGGATTCGAACCTACACAAGCAAAGCCCACATGATTTCTAGTCATGCTCAATAACCACTCCGCCACGCCCACTCTTAACATTGAATTTTGACTTTTTCCTCAAATACTATATATTTGTTTACAAAATTGGGGTAGAAGAACTAAATCAAACAAATCACTTGAAATTTGATATTAAATTCTTCTCTTAAAAACAACCTATTTGGTGACAGCAAAGAAACGTGAGCGGTAGGATTCGAACCTACGTAGGCAAAACCTACATGATTTCTAGTCATGCTCAATAACCTCTCCGGCACGCCCACTCTAAACGTTAAATTTTGATTTTATTCCCAAATACTATTTATTACTTGACAAAATTGGGGTAGAAGAACTAAATAAAACTAATCACTCTAAATTTGATATTAAATTCTTCTCTTAAATACAACCTATTTGGTGACAGCAAAGAAATGTGAGCGGCAAGATTCGAACCTGCGCGGGCAAAGCCCACATGATTTCTAGTCATGCCCGATAACCACTCCGACACACCCACTCTTATCATTAAATTTTGACTTATTTCCCAAATACTATTTATTACTTGACGAAATTGGGGTAGAAGAACTAAATAAAACAAATCAATTGAAATTTGACATAAAATTCTTCTCTTAAATACAACCTATTAGGTGACAGCAATGAAACGTGAGCAGCATGATTTGAACCTGTGCGGGCAAATCCCTCATGATATTTAGTCATGCCCGATAAACACTCCGGCATGCCCACTCTTGACATTAAATTTTTACTTTTTTCCCAAATACTAATTATTTGTTTACAAAATTGCGGTAGAAGAACTAAATCAAACAAATCACTTGAAATTAGACATTAAATTCTTCTCTTAACTCCTACCTTATTGGGTGACATCAAAGAAACGTGAGCAGCAAGATTCAAACCTTCACGGGAAAAGCCACATGATTTGTAGTCATGCCCGATAACCACTCCGGCACCACTCTTGACATTAAATTTTGAATTTTTTCCCAAATACTATTTATTAGTTAACAAAATTGGGGTAGAAAAACTAAATCAAACAATTCAATTGAAATTTGACGTTAAATTCTTCGCTTTAATACAACCTATTGGGTGACATCAAAGAAACGTGAGCGACAGGATTCGAACCTACACAGGCAAAGCCCATAAGATTTCTAGTCATGCCCGATAACCACTCCGGCACGCCCACTCTTAACGTTAAATTTTGATTTTATTCCCAAATAATATTTATTACTTGACAAAATTGGGGTAGAAGAACTAAATAAAACGAATCACTCTAAATTTGATATTAAATTCTTCTCTTAAATACAACCTATTTGGTGACAGCAAAGAAACGTGAGCGGCAAGATTCAAACCTGCGCGGGCAAAGCCCACATGATTTCTAGTCCGATAACCACTCCAGCACGCCCACTCTTATCATTAAATTTTGACTTATTTCCCAAATACTATTTATTAGTTGACAAAATTGGGGTAGAAGAATTAAATCAAACAAATCTGTTGAAATTTGATATTAAATTATTTTCTTAAATACAACCTATTGGGTGATAGCAAAGAAACGTGAGCAGCATGATTGGAACCTGCACGGGCAAAGCCCACATGATTTCTAGTTATGCCCGATAAACACTCCGGCACGCCCACTCTTGACAATAAGTTTTGACTTTATTCCCAAATACTACTCGTTAATTGACAAAATTGGGGTAGAAGAACTAAATCAAACAAATCACTTGAAATTTGATATTAAATTCTTCTCTTAAATACTACCTATTGGGTGACAACAAAGAAACGTGAGCAGCAGTATTCGAACCTACACGGGCAAAGCCCACATGATTTCTAGTCATGCCCGATTACCACTCCGGCACGCCCACTCTTAACATTAAATTTTGACTTTATTCCCAATTTCTATTTATTAGTTGACAAAATTGGGGTATAAGAACTAAATCAAACAAATCACTTGAAATTTGATATTAAATTCTTCTCTTAAATACTACTTTCTATTTATTAGTTTACAAAATTGGGGTATAATAAATAAATCAAACAAATCACTTGAAATTTGATATTAAATTCTTCTCTTAAATACTACATATTCGTTGACAGCAAAGAAACATGAGCGGCAGGATTCGAACCTACACGGGCAAAGCCCACATGATTTCTAGTCATGCCCAATAACCACTCCGGCACGCCCACTCTTAACATTAAATTTTGACTTTATTCCCAAATACTATTTCTTAGTTGACAAAATTGGGGTAGAAGAACTAAATCAAACAAATCTGTTGAAATTTGATATTAAATTCTTTTCTTAAATACAACCTATTTAGTGACAGCAAAGAATAGTGAGAGGCAGGATTAGAACCTGCGCGGGCAAAGCCCACATGATTTCTAGTTATGACCGATAACCACTCCCGCACGCCCGCTTTTAGCATTAAATTTTGACTTTTTTTCTGAAATTATATTAATTAGTTTACAAAATTGGGGTAGAAGAACGAAATCAAACAAATCAATTGAAATTTGACATTAAATTCATCTCTTAAATACAACCTATTGGGTGATAACAAAGAAACGTGAGCAGCATGATTCGAACCTGCACAGGCAAAGCCCACATGATTTCTAGTTATGCCCGATAAACACTCCGGCTTGCCCACTCTTGACAATAAGTTTTGACTTTATTCCCAAATACTACTCGTTAGTTGACAAAATTGGGGTAGAAGAACTAAATCAAACAAATCACTTGAAATTTCATATTAAATTCTTCTCTTAAATACTACCTATTGGGTGACAGCAAAGAAATGTGAGCGACAGGATTCGAACCTACACGGGTAAAGCCCACATGATATCTAGTCATGCCCGATAACCACTCCGGCACGCCCACTCTGGTCATTTAATTTTGATTTTTTTCCCAAATACTATTTATTAGTTGACAAAATTGGGGTAGAAGAACTAAATAAAAAAAATCAATTGAAATTTGACATAAAATTCTTCTCTTAAATACAACCTATTAGGTGACAACAATGAAACGTGAGCATCATGATTTGAACCTGCGCGGGCAAAGCCCACATGATTTCTAGTCATGCCCGATAACCACTCCGGCACGCCCACTCTTGGCATTAAATTTTGACTTTTTTCCAAATTTCTATTTATTAGTTGACAAAATTGGGGTATAAGAACTAAATCAAACAAATCACTTGAAATTTGATATTAAATTCTTCTCTTAAATACTACTTTCTATTTATTAGTTTACAAAATTGGGGTATAAGAAATAAATCAAACAAATCACTTGAAATTTGATATTAAATTCTTCTCTTAAATACTACCTACATGATTTCTAGTCATGCCCGATAACCACTCCGGCACGCCCACTCTTAACATTAAATTTTGACTTTATTCCCAAATACTATTTATTAGTTGACAAAATTGGTGTAGAAGAACTAAACCAAACAAATCAATTAAAATTTGACATTAAATTTTTTTCTTAAATACAACCTTTTTGGAGACAGCAAAGAATCGTGAGCGACAGGATTTGAACCTACGCGGGCAAAGCCCACATGATTTCTAGTCAGGCCCAATAACCACTCCGGCACGCCCACTCTTGGCATTAAATTTTGACTTTTTTCCAAAATTATATTAATTAGTTTACAAAATTGGGGTAGAAGAACTAAATCAAACAAAACAATTGAAATTTGACCTTAAATTCTACTCTTAAATACTACCTATTTGGTGACAGCAAAGAAACGTGAGCAGCTGGATTCGAACCTGCACAGGCAAAGCTCACAAGATTTCTAGCAATGCCCAATAACCACTCCGGCACGCCCACTTTTAACATTAAATTTTGACTTTATTCCCAATTTCTATGTATTAGTTGACAAAATTGGGGTATAAGAACTAAATCAAACAAATCACTTGAAATTTGATATTAAATTCTTCTCTTAAATTTTACTTTCTATTTATTAGTTTACAAAATTGGGGTATAAGAACTAAATCATACCTATTCGGTGACAGCAAAAAAACATGAGCGGCAGGATTCGAACCTACATGGGCAAAGCCCACATGATTTCTAGTCATGCCCGATAACCACTCCGGCACGCCCACTCTTAACATTAAATTTTGACTTTATTCCCAAATACTACTTATTAGTTTACAAATTTGGGGTAGAAGAACTAAATCAAACATATCTGTTGAAATTTGATATTAAATTCTTTTCTTAAATACAACCTATTTAATGACAGCAAAGAATCTTGATCGGCAGGATTCGAACCTGCACGGGCAAAGCCCACATGATTTCTAGTCATGCCTGTTAACCACTCCGGCACGCCCACTCTTGGCACTAAATTTTGACTTTTTTCTGAAATTATATTAATTAGTTTACAAAATTGAGGTAGAAGAACTAAATCAAACAAATCAATTGAAATTTGACATTAAATTCTTCTCTTAAATACAACCTATTGGGTGATAACAAAGAAACGTGAGCAGCATGATTCGAACCTACACGGGCAAAGCCCACATGATTTCTAGTTATGCCCGATAAACACTCCGGCATGCCCTTTCTAGTTATGCCCGATAAACACTCCGGCATGCCCACTCTTGACAATAAGTTTTAACTTTATTCCCAAATACTACTCGTTAGTTGACAAAATTGGGGTAGAAGAACTAAATCAAACAAATCCATTGAAATTTGATATTAAATTCTTCTCTTAAATACTACCTATGGGGTGACAGCAATGAAATGTGAGCGATAGGATTTGAACCTACACGGGCAAAGCCCACATGATTTCTAGTCATGCCCGATAACCACTCCGGCACGCCCACTCTGGTCATTTAATTTTGAGTTTTTTCCTAAATACTATTTATTAGTTGACAAAATTGGTGTAGAAGAACTAAACCAAACAAATCAATTAAAATTTGACATTAAATTTTTTTCTTAAATACAACCTATTTGGTGACAGCTAAGAATCGTGAGCGACAAGATTCGAACCTACGCGGGCAAAGCCCACATGATTTCTAGTCATGCTCGATAACCACTCCGGCACGCCCACTCTTAACATTAAATTTTGACTTTATTCCCAAATACTATTTATTAGTTTACAAAATTGGGGTAGAAGAACTAAATCAAAAAAATCTGTTGAAATTAGTGACAGCAAAGAATCGTGATCAGCAAGATTCGAACCTGCACGGGCAAAGCCCACATGATTTCTAATCATGCCCGATAACCACTCCGGCACGCCCACTCTTGGCATTAAATTTTGACTTTTTTCTGAAATTATATTAATTAGTTTACAAAATTGGGGTAGAA